CAGAAGGAGGGGCTCTCAATTAAGCAACCCCCTGACCCACTGCTGTGCCTCTTGTCTCCTCCCAGAGCAGCCCTATTCTCTCTCTCTCTCTCTCTCTCTCTCTCTCTCCTCTCCCTCTTTATGGCTCTCTGAGGCTGCATCTGTCTCAGGCATTGGTGACACAAGCCAGCTGCATGTCAGAACGAAAGACCCCAAAGGCTGGTGAGGATCATTTGCTTTTATGGAGTGTCTTTCTCTCGAGTGTGTCCGAGAAGCTTGCAACAATTAAATGTTATGGCTGTAAACAGGGAAGCCAAAGAATGCAGGGCTTATCTTCTCAGAGATGTGTGGCTGATCCTTGTTAAGAATCCAGTGCACCTGCAGCGCTTACTCACCCCCCACCACCTTCCAAAAGCATGCAGCTAACATCTTGCAAAGCGAGGCTCCCACACAGCAACGGAGCTCATTGCGTTCTTCTTGCCACTGCTCTTTTCCCTCCCTGCCCTGCTTGTCCCCTCACACATCACTGCCTCCCCGAGGGCTGCGTTCATTAAGCCTCCAGAAGTCTACTCTCAGGCAACCCAGGGGAACAGCCAGGCTGCCAGTCTCCCTAGAATCTGCTCTTCTCCCAGCTTGAATCATCCATCTGCATACAACAGAAGATATCATGGCTGGCTCAGTAGGCTAATCCTCCGCCTTGCGGCACCAGCATACCGGGTTCTAGTCCCAGTCGGGGCGCCGGATTCTGTCCCGGTTGCCCCTCTTCCAGGCCAGCTCTCTGCTGTGGCCCGGGAGTGCAGTGGAGGATGGCCCAAGTGCTTGGGCCCTGCACCCCATGGGAGACCAGGAGAAGTACCTGGTTCCTGCCTTCGGATCAGCACGATGCACCGGCTGTGGCAGCCATTGGAGGGTGAACCTTTCTCTCTGTCTCCCTCTCTCACTGTCCACTCTGCCTGTCAAAAAAAAAAAAAAAAAGATATGGACATGGCCCCTGGCCCTAGGAAATTGCAGTAGTCTCTGTGCCAACCTTGACACCACCTCTGTGTGCACATCAGCAGAGCCAGCAAGGAGGTCTCCTGTGTCTCTCTTTTAAAAAACAGTTAACGGGGGCCAGCACTGTGGTGTAGCCAGTGAAGCCACCATCTGCAGTGCCAGCATCCCATATGGGTGCCGGTTCGAGTCCTGGCTGCTCCACTTCTGATCCAGTTTTCTGCTCTGGCCTGGGAAAGCAGTAGAAGATGGCCCAAGTCTTTGGGCCCCTCCACCCACATGGGAGACCCAGAAGAAGCTCCCAGATCTAGGCTTCGGATCAGCCCAGCTCCAGCCATTGTGGCCATTTGGGGATTGAATCAGTGCATGGAAGACCTCTCTCTCTCTCTCTCTCTGCTTCTGGCTCTCTCTAACTCTGCCTTTCAAATAATAAATAACGAAACTAAAAAATAAATAAAAAACAATTACCTTCCACTTCCACCCACAGGAAAAACATGAGCTGAAGGGCCAGCAAGTTCCTGGAATGATAGAGAATTTTTTTTTATAAGTTTTATGTCTGTATTGGAAGGGCACAGTAACAGAAAGAGAGAGAGAGAGAGAGAGAGAGAGAGAGATTCCTTCTGCTAATTCACTCCCCAGATGCCTGCAGCAGGAACCAGAAACTCCATCTGGGTCTTCCACGTGGATGGCAGGGACTCATGTACTTGGGCCATCTTCTGCTGCTTTCCTAGGTGCAATAGCAGGAAGCTGGATTGGAAGCAGAGCAGATAGAACTTAACCTAGCACTGTGCTCCAGTAAGGGATGTCGGCAACTCAAGCTATGGCTTAACTTGTTGTGCCACAATGCAAGCCCCAAGAATATCTCTGTTGATAGAAAGAATATCACTTTTAGAGCATGCATGGGCCACCACACTGATGAGAGAATTTTTTCCATGAGAAAGTCTGCATGACATAGATTGAGTACCCCTTGTCTGAACTGCATGGGGTCAGAAGCATTTTGGGTGCAGGATTTGGATTTTGGAATATTTGTACATGCATAATGAAATCTCTTAGGAACAGGACCCTAAACTTTACTTGGGGAAGGTAACTTTAGGCAATATTTTCAGTGCACTTGAGTTTTGTTTGGCTGTGACCCATCACAGGTGGTCAGGTTTGGAACTTTCCACTTGTAGCTTAAGTTGGCAGCCAAAAAGACTCCAATTCAGGAGCATCTCAGATTTTGGACTTTCTGATTAGGAATGCTCCAGCTATAATGATAATAACAAGTATTGCAAAAAGTAAGAACTCATATTTGAATGTGTTGAGTACGTGCTATGTGCCAGCCTTTTTTCTCAGCACTGTGTGTACCTTAGCTTCTCTACTCTTCACCACAATTTTCCCAGCTAGGAACTGTTATTATTCTCATTGTTTGATGAAGAAACTGAGGTGCAGAAAATGTATTAAGTATTCCCAGGGTTCAATAAACTCCAAGCATTGACCTTGGGATGTTCAATACATGACCACAGGTCTCATTGGCAAATCTGAGGAGTGATCCTCTTTCTCTGAAGACCTGGGAGGTAAGGAGATTAACTCCAGTGCTCCTGGGCCCACAGCTCCTGTTCTTTATCCTGTGTCTTCACGGCTCATTGAGGACCTCACGTATTTCTAGTCTGTGCAGTGCCCTGTGTGGGGTCAAGATGGGGGTGGATGCCCCATAAACATGCACACATTCTTTTTAGTGAGCTAATGCATCATAAATTAAATATTGATGTTAAATCCTGTGGTCTACACTCCTGGGAGTAATAGCTCGACCAATTCAGAGGAGTGAGTGATGACTCAACCAGGTAGGCGTTGCTTTAATAATGCATTCATATCTTCCTGGTTGACAATGGGTTTGCTCTTTATGGAATTCATCCCGCTTCCTACAATATGAGGATACAGTGTGATGATCTCACACAGCAGAGCTTGGCAGTCACCACATCCCCTCTGCTCAGTGTCCTGCTACTTCCAGCTCCTCATGGCTATAAAGGCGTCATCTCATATCTTAGGACCACAGATGGCCAGTGAGTGTCTTGGGCTTGAAAATGGCTCTTGTTTGACTCACGCATTGGGGAGATCTGTGAAGTGACTCTGTCCATACCTCCCCAGCTCCTTCCCCACTTCCCCATCCCTCCCTCCTTCTTTCTTGTTTCCCTGTTTGCTTTCCTTTTTTCATGTAATTAAATTTATTATCCTAGTCTGCATTTCACATTTAGGAGATTTAGTCTACATATCTGGCTTCTCTGGAAAAATTACAATATCTGGCAACACTGGTCCCCACCTTAGTTCTTGGCAAAGTTAGCTCAAGCTGGTTAGTGACAGGCTGTGCCTTCCATGTGGTCTTGGTCCTCATGGCCCTCTATCTCCCTGACACTGAGGCTGGGTGTCAGTTGCCACCAATCCTGTTGCCCATGTCCTTGGGTCCTTGACTCCCGGCCATCGTCACTCATTCCCGTGAGTTATCTAGCATCAGTTGGCATCTGAGTTTGTAAACCCAGCTTTGGGCAATGCCTACCACTCAGGGTGAGTAGGAGTGGATGCAAATGTCACCCCAGCTCATCCCCTGGTCTGCCTCGTTCTGCACCTGCTCCATGATGGGGCACAAGAGAACACAACAGGAGATAGAATGGTTCTGCCCCTACCATCAACCCCGTAAAACATTCCAGCTTCTCTCAAGGAACCCCTAGAGACACAGACCTTGATTAACCTTGAAAATTAACAGCCAAAGGAGCCCAAACTCTCACCACAGCTTTTTCAGCTAAGATACATAGTCGTGGGTAGACTCCACCCAAAGTAATTTATTTTTGTCTGAGTAGAGTTGCTTTTTCTACTCTAATGTGCTTGCTTCCTGGCTTATCCTTCTCCGTGACAAAAGTAACAATTGATGTTTTGTTTGAGAAGAGGAAAAATCCTGCACCTCTTGTCATCCTGATGTTGTGTACACAGCATGATTGGTGGCACTGTCAAAGGGGCTGAAGAATAAGGCTGTGGAGAAGGAGGAAGCAGCCTGTGTCTTGCAGAAATAGCCACAAGTCAGAGGATCTGTATCAAGCCACTGACACACATTAGTACAGGTGATAGCAATTGGCTCTCGTGATGGTTGTTGAGCAAGATGGGATTATGGTCCCAGCTCTTCCTTCTCAGAAGAGAATTTATATATCAGGTCTTTCCCCCATGACCCAGTAGTTCCTTCCATTTCAACCACCATATCCATGGGGGATATATTCCTATATCCCCAGAGAATGCCTGCAACAGTGGATAGTACCAAATCCTCTATATATTCGTGTGTGTATATGGAAAATTCCAGAAGTAAATAATTCATAAGATAGTTCATAAGTTTTAAGTTGAGTGCCATCCTGAGTACCACAATGAAATGAAATATAGGGGGCATTGCTGTGGCGAGGCAGGTAAAGCCTCCACTTGCAGTGCTGGCATCCTGTATGGGCACCAGTTCAAGTCCCGGCTGTTCCACTTCCCATCCAACTCTCTGTTATGGCCTGGGAAAGCAGTGGAAGATAGCCCAAGTCCTTGGGCCCCTGCACCTGTATGGGAGACTTAGAGGAAGCTCCTGGCTCCTGGCTTTGGATCGGCACAGCTCCAGACATTGTGGCCAAATGGGGAGTGAACCAGCGGATGGAAGACCTCTCTCTCTCTCTCTGCCTCTCCTTCTCTGTGTGTAGCTCTGATTTTCAAATAAATAAATAAACCTTTTTTAAAAGGAAATTAAATATATATAATATATATGAAATATATACTATATATTACTATATATAATCACATACAATAATATATAACACATAATATATTATACGTATTAATACATAATACATATAATGATTTTCTATACATACTTTGTTACACACTGTGGTTATGACTTTTACAGTTTGAGGCACGAGAGTAAAACCAGCATGAATTTATTTCTTCTTCCTCACAATTTCATGAATAGGAGACTTGTTCTTGTCATAGATCTTAGCGACCTCAGCATCCAATTTTTTTTTTTTATCTTTATAAAGTCAAGAACCTTTTCACCTAAAGGAAGCACTTCCTGGCTCCTCTTCGGCATATCTGAGTCATCAGCATTGTTACTCTTGTGCATTGGGGCCACTATTAACTAAAACGAGAGTGAGCTGAACACAGGCAGTGCAGTACAGCAACATCTGACCTGCTAGCCAAGACTGCCACTAAGTGACTAACAGGTAGGTAGCGTATACAGCGTGGATACACGAGTTGAAGGGCTGATTCACATCCAAGCTGGGGGAGGGTATATTAGTGTGAGATTTCATCCTACTACTCAGGATGGCACTCAATCTCAAGCTCATGAACTATTTACCTCTGGAATTTTCCATTTAATATGTTTGGACCACGACTGGGTGTCAGTAAAGGAGTCCATCGACAGTGAAGCTGTTGCTAAGCAGTGACTCCTGTATACATAACCACTCATCTTTGGACTTGACCATGCAATGTACTTTGATAATTAGGATATGGATCAAAGTGACAATGTGCCAGTTCCTCTCTGAGGGTTGAAGAAACTGGCAAATTTCCCCCATGCCTATGAAGCATCTGCCCTCTGTAATGAGAAAAATATGCCCCAGGCAGCTGTTGCTTCTAAGGTTGAGTCTTGGAATGAAAATACAGGGAATAAACCTGAATCCAACCTAGTTTAGCTTGACGCCAGCTAAGATCAGCCAAACAGCAGCCACATTTCAACCCCCAAACTCGAAATAAATATTTGTTGCTGAAAACCTCTGCAGTTTGATTGTTGCACAGCATTCAAAAGGGGGGGGGGGACTGGTGAGTATAACTGGTGAATGGGACAAAGGAGATTCCTTATTCCAATTGGCCAATTACTACACATTTTGACGATGCTATTGCAGTGTGCCTATGATTCAATGCATTTACTCTGCAAATGTACGTTCACTAAGATGTTGTTTGCTTCTGCCATTTTCAAGCTGCCTCTGGGAAAGTCTATGGAAGTCATCATTGCACCATTCCACTAGGCTGGCATTGGCAAAATATCCTTTCCTCTGCCCTTCTACGTTCTCAGCTGGGATCCCTATAATAAAAGACATATGAGCAAGAGAAAAGCATATCAATTCATTTAATATAATTTTTATAATGACGGGGTGGCTTCATATGGAAATGACTACTCCAAGCAAAAGTTAGAGTTGACTATCTTTACATTGGATTTGATGAAGAAGGGAGAGTTGAGGGAAAACGAGACAGGACAACAAAGAATAAGAGCTAGGAGCCCTACCCTGGGGGACAACTAAGCAAAGTCTGTTCCTTATGATTGCTCTGATGTCATCTGTCTTTGGAGATAAGGATGCCCCTTTCCTCTGGGTAGGAACAGAGCCTTCCATCACATGAGAGTCTTATGACCTGCGTTAGGAGAAGCTCAGAAAAGTCTTCCGGTACTTGGTCTTTCATCAAATTGGGAGACAATGCAATATGCTCATGAAATCTAATAAGAATGTGATTTTGATTATCTACATGCAGGAGTGAGAAAGACCTGATCAGGTACCAAACTGAGGACATCTTTCTTTCATTCTAGCAATGCCAGCTTCGCGGGCTCTGTTGAATCAAGCCATGTTTTCCAAAGTACTGGGAATCTTTCATATGAGTGTCTGATTTGTTCTGGTTCTGATTTGTAACAGAACTTGGTAAATATTTACCAATTTTTAACAGGACAAGGGGGCTTATTTTGTCCTGAACCAGTCAATTCACGTTTCTTCTGTAACAATTGAAGACATCTACCTTGATTGATTTATTTGATGGGAATCCCAAGTTTACCAGATATGATGAAGAGAGAACACGTGTAGAGCCCCAAGAGGACATGGACTAGGCATGAGAATAAACACCTTACTTTTCTAACAACAACACCAGCAACAAATCCCAGGGTGTTTCAATCTACCAGACTCCATCAGTTTCTGCTTTCCCGTCTCCCTAACACCATGGGCTTCTGTTACGGGGGTTGTGATTCTGTGGGCAGCTTTGAGAGAGTAGTCCCCACGGTCCCTAATCTGTTCATTTACAGTCAGCGTGTTGGGGTCACAGATAAGTACCCAACTCATTAGGCACTGACCCCTACCGGAGCAATCATCATAAACCACCATGAGCTCTTCTCAGTTCAATTGATGTGTAAACTATTTAAGGACAAGATGAAATGAGCAGGGAAGATTTTTCTGGTTTCCTTTAATTGCTTCTCAGGTGGCCTCTCATTTACCAAGCTCTGCTACAAAGTAAGAGCCAGAACTACCCTAGTGAAACTAATATAAAAGACCCCAGTACTTTGGGGAATACAACTTGATTCAGCGGAACCCAGGGAGCCTTGTGCTGCTAGGAAGCGAAACTTTCTTGTTCCTTTGGATGTGCGGTGAGGTGTCTTCCTCTTCTCTGCAGGTGCCTAAATTATAATTGCATTCTCTTTAGTTCTCACGAGCACGTTGCATTGTCCGCAAGCTCCTTGCTTTTGAAGCCAGGAGTACTGATGACTGCTCTAAAAAGGAGTCGATTGTCTCCATCGGGATGGATTTTGAGGGCAGAAATAGAATAGTGGCTTAAGAACTGCAATAAAAGACGCACTGTTAGATGCGACAAGGTTGGCAGAAAGCTGATGGTGGCCAGGGTCGCCTAGCGCCCCCTTCTGCTGGTTTGCCTCCTTTAGAGTATTCGAAATTTTTCACAATAAATTTTCCATTAACCCTGCGATTCTGTCAACCCAGAATCAAGGTTTGAACCCAAACCTTGTCTGGGGACTTGGTTTGAGTCTCCAGAGGATATTTCTTTTCTTAAATGAAATAATTGCTACTACAAACCCACATTTCACAAAGCACATGGGAGCCCACTCTTCCTAAGCTCCCACGGCATGGTCAGCCACAGATAAAGCTGGCTACATCTTCTTTTTCAGGGTCTGACCCTCAGCTGTTCTTGGGCCAAATGTACTTATCTACTCTTGTAAAAGATTTATTTATTTTTATTTGAGAGTCAGAGTTAAAGACAGAGAGAGGGAGAGACAAAGAGAAAGAGATCTTCCATCCACTGGTCCACTTCCCAAATGCCTGCAATGGCCAGAGCTGAGCCAATCCAAAGCCAAGAGCCAGGAACTTCTTCCAGGTCTCCCATGTGGGTGACGGGGCCCAAGCATTTGGGCCATAATCTGCTGCTTTCCCAGGTGCATTAGCAGGGAGCTGGATTGAAAGTGGAGCAGCCAGGACTCGAACTGACGCCCATATGAGATGCCAGCCCTGCAGGCAGAGGCTTAACCTATTATGCCACAATACTGGCCCTGCACTTGTCTTCTAAGCTTATTTGTCATTTTCAAATGATTTATTCATTTGTTTGAAAGGCAGGGGTGGGGGAGAGAGGGAAAGAGATCTTCCATCCTCTGGTTCACTCCCCAAATAGTCACAGTGGCTGGGAGTGGTCTTCCACGTGAATACAGAGGCCCAAGCATTTGGGCCAGCTGCTGTTGCTTTCCCTCGTGCATTAGCAGGGAGCTGGATCAGAAGTGGAGCAGCCAGGACTCGAACCAGCGATCATATGGGATTCTGTGCTGCAGATGGGAGCTTAACTTGTAGCACTCAATACTGGCTCCTGCCGTCGCCTTTCAGTCATTTTCATTTTTAATCCTGGGTGTGGATGGACTCCAATAGGAATGGCGCTTCCTGCAGTTGCGCATCAAGAAAGCTCTGATAAATCCAGCATCCATCTGCCTGCCTCCCCTCACCCCTGTCCCCTGCTAAACACACAGCCAGACTCTACTTTTGCTGAGATCCTGGAGCCCAGAACCTGAGTGTACAAACCGGCCCTGTTCTTGGTCAACTCAGACAAAAGCAGGTTGCAGCTTGGGAACCTTGACCCCAGCAACAGGAGTGTGTCTACAGCCTCTGATACTCTAACAGGGTTGGCAAGTCAGGAGTCCGCCCGGCTGTGCTCATCCCATAATACTTCCCACATTTGCTCACCTTGTGCAAGGTTCGTTTCTGCTGCATCAGATGAAGAATGGAGCCGTGAACTTCCTCCCCATTATCTTCAAGGGGGCCTGGACATGCCACTTTGCTGGAGCCACCTTCCTCTGTCAGGCATGGGAATTCAGGGCTAGAGGCTGTGTGGCAGGGTACAGGGTTTCTCCGTGCAAGCGCCCAGGCTCGTTCATCATATTTGAGTCCCAGCCGCTCAGCTGGCATCCCTTGGCCGCTAGGTCTGATATTACTACAGCACTTTGCACGCCATCATTTTGGGCTTGGCCACCCTCTGCAGAGTCAGGTCTATAAAATGTTATTTTCTTTTCTTGAAAAAGAGATTGATTGATTGATTTGAAAGGAAGCTATAAAGAGACAGAAGGGGATGGAAGAGAGGGAGAGGGAGAGGGAGAGGGAGAGGGAGAGGGAGAGGGAGAGGGAGAGGGAGAGGGAGAGAGAGAGAGAGATCAACAGATCTCCCATACACTGGTTCACTCCCTAAATGGCCAGAACAGCCAAGACTGGGCCAAGCCAAAACCAGGAGCCAGGAACCCCATCCTGGACTTCCACGTGGGTGACAGGGACCCAAGCACTTGGGCCATCCTCTGCTGCTTTCCCAGGTGCCTCAGCAGGGAGCTGGATTGGAAGTGGAGCAGCCAGGACTGTAACCCATATTCGAATGCTGGAGTTGCAGGTAGTGGCTTAACCTATTAAACTATAATGCCAGCCCCAATAAATATTTATTATTTACCAACAATAATAATTAATGTAACTGTAATTGTATATAGTGAGGGCCATCCTGCAATCACAGGGAGCCCTAAACAACAGGATGAGACATTTGTAAGTAACATCGACATGGAAAGGATGCAGTGGGTGGCAGGGGCCCAAGCACAGGAGACATCTTCTGCTACCTTCCAGGGTGCATTAGTAGGGAGCTCGTTCGGAGGTGGAACAGCTGGGACTCCAACTGACACCTCCAATATGGTGTGCTGGAGTTGTACATGGTGGCTTAACCCCAGAGCCACCACCCCAGCCCTGTACAGTGAGTTAAATCATGTCACCTGGGCTTTGCTTATCTCGTGGTTAGGTTCCAGAATGACAACAACAGTCCCAACTGCCTTCCAGACTTTAAAAAAAAAAACACACACACACAAATGAAAATACATTTAAGATTAGGAAAAGCCAAGAGCAATGGCTTTGAAGTCCAGTTGCCATTTTCATTTGTTTGTTTTTTTCTCTGATCAGTTACGTGGCCTGCTTGGTTATTTGGCTTCTTTTTTCATTTGCTGTGGATGTTTGTATCACAAGGATCATCTGCGCTGAGCACTTCTCTTAGATGTGGTGACTCAGCATTTCAGAACGTCTGGGGTGCTTGAGAGCAGTGATGTAGTTTGCTACACTGGAAAAGCAAGGGCTTTGCATTTGGGCAAATGAGGGTCCCAGTCTTGCCTCCAACACTTCTAGCTGCGTGGTTTGAGGGTAGGTCACATACTCTTTTGGGTCTCTGGGTCATCATTGGAAAAATAGGAGTAATCATATCGACAGGATAGGGCTACCCCTGCATTGTATCAATTATGCGTGAGATACAAGGAGGCTTCCGGATGTTTGTGGAGAAATAGAGTTCAAAGGCAAAGCAAAATTTCCATGAACTCCTTGATGATCTGTTGTGCCTAACGTTCTGCCTGGCAGATACTACAACCTCACTGAGCTGTTTCCTGTTCTTCTCTTTTGCTCCAGAAGTTTGGGGCTCTCATGTTGAATGAGCAAAGCCCTGGGTGATTCAAAGAGTTGGTGACCTCCCGTTGTCCAGCGGTCCATCAGCATGGGACAATGAGCCCAGATTCAGAGGATTTTATTCTTCGTCACCACAGGAAATGCCAGCGATGATCTCTTCATGAGAAAAGTCAAAACCCATGTGTGTCGAGAGCTAGGCTTCAGGAAGTGGGCAGACCTGAGCATGCTATGCAAAGTGCTATCCACGTGCAGGTGTGCACTTGTCCTAGAAAGAGGGTCCACAGTGTTTATCAGATACTCACATGGGTCTGTATTTTGCCTCCCTCTCTCCTCTGACCCTCCCCTCTTCCTCCCTCCCTCTTTTCCTTTCTCAAATGATATTTGTGAATTTCTTATAGCCAAGATGTCCAAAACACATTCATGACTCAAACAATACAAAAATCCCGTTTTTATTTTCAGTGGGTTCTAAAAATTCTCAGGAACCACAGATATAAGCAATGGGGATTAAATTTTTGCCATCATTCTCTTTTGGTTGCCTTGGGCTGTGTACTGCAACCATTTGTCCAGTAGGATCAAATATGTCTTTGGGAACCACACACATTTACTGTTTTAAAAGAGAGTCAGTGGGGTCAATGTGGCATAGCAGGTAAAGCCACTGCCTGTGACACCAGTACCCCTTATGGGCACCAGGTTGAGTCCTGGCTGCTCTACTTCCAAACCAACTCCCTACTAATGGCCTGGGAAAAGCAGTGGAAGATGGACCAAGTGTTTGGGCCCCTGCACCCACATGGGAGACCCGGAAGAAACTCCTGGCTCCTGGCTTTGGACTACCTCAGTTCCTACCATTGTGGCCATTTGGGGAGTGAACCATTGGATGGAAGATTCTCTCTCTCTCTCTCTCTCTCTCTCTCTCTCTCTTTCTCTC